GATGTTAGACTACAACCTGTTTCAAGGCTATCCACAAAAGGTACCCGATCTTGGATGGCACACCGACGCCGGTAGTTACTGGGGCACAGTCGAGTCCCCATGAATTACCGAGTAACGATGAACTGAGTCCCGTGAGTCAGGCGGCTCTGCCTCCGAATGCCCGAAAGAGCGATAAGGAGGCATTGCGCCTCTCTCGTGTACGTGGAGATGCCCCCTCGGAAGGTTTAGGGTCCCACACTATGTTTCTGCGAAGTTTGTTCACTGACGTCCTGGACCTGGTGTGTGAGATTACCGAGTATGTTCAGTCCCCAGAGGCTCGGGCATTCCTGGGATTCGAGCTCATGCTGCAAGACTTCCACCGAGATGCCACGAATAACGCGCTCCAGGCCCTGGCCCCCGCCATGAGTCAGGCCCCCGCCATGAGTCAGGCCCCCGCCGTGGGTCAGGCCCCCGCCGTGGGTCAAGCCCCCGCCATGAGTCAGGCCCCCGCCATGAGTCAAGCCTTTGAACAGGACGCGCTGGCCCGGGCATCTATTGCTCAGGTACGTCACTGCTATCCCAAAGCTCTCTGGGTCCATGAACACCTCACCGGGTTTGTTGGCAAGGTGAAGAAACTGGCAGGGGACAAGGAGGAAGACGTGGCCATGCAAGAGGACGTGCCATTGGAAGAGTCGTGCGCAACGCTGCCGGAAGTTTTGGTTTGTCTTGCGGTACAAAATATACTCTTCAGCGGCGCCATGACCTACAGCGGGGGTCTGATGTCCGTAGCCCGAGCCGCTTTTCTTTCCACCGTGGACGGATCGGACGCTCTGTCCTTCTATTTTAAACACGTCGACCAGGACCTAAAGATGTTCGGTGACTTTGCCGCACACATATACAGACATCTCCAAAATACAAAACTACCCCACGACATATTGTTCGCCATGGTCACAGAGGCAATGGTCCTTGAACATCACTACCTAACCACTCTCTTCACTGATCCGAAGCTGGAGCTACTCGTTAATCACACCAGCAATATTCAAAATCCAAGCGCGTGTGTGAGCTCCAAAAATTCAGATTGGCACGCCAAAGAGCACATTGGTCGACTCGTGGGGGCCTTGGCACTGCACGTCATCAGGGCGTGTGGCGAAAAAACGGAGGACTTTATTCAGTACTTTATGCAGGCGGAAGCTGCCACTGTGGAGAGGCTCAACGAGTCCATGTACACACAACTTTTGGAGCTTCAAACAACATATGGAGTGAATAATCCCACCATACCCCTTGTTCCATTTTGCAGCTTGGAACTTCAAGACTGGCCTGTTTCGGGATCCTCTGAGGACAGGAACCTTTGCGCCGTACCCAAGGTGGTCGACTTCAGCGAAGAGTTTTACACCCCAGTTGAGGCCATGCCGGCGGCAGGTGCCGCCCATGACACAACGGCGGCCAGCAGCAACATCTTCGCCGAGGATGGCGATTTTTAACTTCCAACTTCCGTCGGATCAGATGAGTGAGCACACGATACAGAAAAACAAGCACAGGGGCGGTGTGCTTGTTTCGGG